CCAAAATGGCCATTCACTGCTTCTAAGTTTTCCATAGTAGTCTAGCTTCAATTGACTCATGAATTCAAATATTAGTAACCCCATCACAATTGATTGATCACTGGGTGGTGATCAATGTCATGCTTGTCTAGTCCTTGTTTAGTGCAGATCGAATGCTATCGACCATGTTGCAATGTGGCCACCAGTCTGGGTGACTCGGCACTGCGGGCACTATGTATTGAGATTAGATGGTGATTGGAGGTAGTCAACAGGAAACCCTGGACCCGGGTTTCGTGCTAGTTGGCACTCGTCAGCACCAGTTCCCTCAAGATTACATGTACACCTTGCTGACGAGTGCCAACTAGCACGAAACCCGGGTCCAGGGTTTCCTGTTGACTACCTCCAACCACCATCTAATTAGTAACCCCCTTTTTGGATACTTTAATAAGTTTTCATTTCTTCTTTTTTTTGTTGTGGTTATTCATAAACACAATCTCCATCATATAAGTATGAATACATAAATGTGTCTATAAATTAGGTTTTCTATATTACCAGGTTTCTATTACCGGTTTTACACATCATCAACTACATACAACATACTGATAAACTGATGAACTGATGAAATCAAAAGAAACAAACAAACAAACAATTGTTAGTACATATATACATATGTATAATGTATGTAGTATAAAACGATAGGTAGACATGTATACACACAGGCATACACATACACTTGCACACACATATACACATACACATACACGTACACACACCTATACACACAAACACACTTACATATATACACATACACATACACGTACACACACCTATACACATAAACACACATATATACACACACACGTACATACACCTATACACATACGCATACACATACACATACACATACACATATATATATATATATACATGCACATAAACATACATAATGTAATTTCGAAACGATTCAGTATTACAATGATAAATTACATATTCAATTTTCCAGTTTAATTAAAAACAACTATGAATGTAATTCAATCTATCTAATTGGTTTGTATTAAAACTAAACAAAACAAAACAAACAAACAAACATGTTGTTTTAATGATGATGATGATGATGATGATGATGATGATGATGATGAATTTGACATTTTAAATCATGAATAAACATTGTTTTTTAAAAGAAAAGAAAAGAAGTATTTAGATTGTATTCATTTAAAAAAGAGTATTTCAATGAAACTATCATTGAATGGATAACCTTTGAATGAGTTCTAAACTGACGTTGAAAGGGTTCACCTAATCATTAGGATTAAATGTAAAGGTGATCAACCCCGTGTAAAGAGTAAAGATAGTGATGTACAGTTGATGGTTAGGGGTTAGGAATTAGATTTCGAGGTGGGGTGGGGTGGGGTGGTGATGTGAACAGAGAAACAAATAGCCTGGACAAATTAAGCAAACTATTTTTTAGGGGGACACTATTTCATTTTATTCATGATTTCAACCTGTGAAATTTTTAAAACTCTCTACAAAACCCATTCTGATAATAATAATCATTTGCTCATTAGTGACTGACTTCAGGAAAAACTCCTGGAGTTCTAGTGAGAAGCCGTTACCTGTGGAGTTCAACCAGGTCTGTTGTGAGATATCAGCTCACTGATGACAATGGTGTACGGTGGCGCAACTTCGTGGATTGGTTGAAGTTAGACATTAACACCGTTGGATGCCGGCTCAGTGGTCTAGTGGTTAGGCGCTCACGCGCGTAGATACGCACTGCTGAAAAGTCCCACAATAGGATGAAACGGTCGTTCAATGCTTCCACGCTTCCCATGATGGTCTATCTTCAATTCATTCATGATCTCAACCATTGAAATCATTGGAATATCCACAAAAACCCTTCTCTGATCATAATTGTATTTTTCTAATTATTGTACATTGTGGTCGGGTTAGTCATCTATATATTCATGTACCTTTTTACATTAATCTGACATCGGGATATATCGGGAATAGATCGAGTAGTGTTCCGATTGTCTTGTCTTCTCTCACTCACGTGCTTGTCAACCAATCAGGTGATAGAATAGTTTTCTTCTCTCTACTCAAACTCAAACTCACGCGTACTAGCCACAAGGTTAAGCCGGTCAGCCTATCGCGCCAAAGTCTTAATCTAGATTAGACAAATTATCCTCAGCACTGAAAGTGGGTAGACAGATCAAGGATGTAACAGGTGGCGATTTCATCATGAACTGAAATAAGCTAAAATGCCAAAACACTATTTAATTAAATGGATGAATGGATTTCGTGCCAAAATCTTAAACTTGTTACCTCATACCATATTGGTTCGTTCATAAATTATAGTCCCGATAAAATTCTAATTCAGAAATAAAATTCATATCAGAAGGGGTTTTGTGTGGATATTATAGTAATTTCAATAGTTGAGATCATGATTCAATTGAAGCTAGACCATCATGGAAGATCTGGAAACATTGGACAGTCATATCGTTCTAGTATAGGACTCCGTAACAGTGTACATTCCCGACGACATCTAGGTTTGAATCTCGCGAGGCCGGATTGTAGACACGCGCTGCTGAGGAGTCCTATGCTAAGACGAAAAGCCTATTTAGTGCCCCAGGGTTTTCCATGGTGGTCTAACTTCCATTGAATCATGATCCCAACTATTGAAATTACTATAATATCCACAAAATCCCCCTTTCTGGTAATAAATTATGTATATTAAGTTAAGAGTCTTTGCTAAGCACCACTCAAGAAAGCTGAAATATGTAGATATAATAAATATATATACTGAAGTTAACTGTTTAGTACTAGTCACCATTATGATTACTCATCTATTTTAAAACATAAATAACAAACAAAGTATTAAAACTTTACAACTTATAATTCACTTTGAAATGGATTCCTAAAGTTTTAGTCAGAAGTTATTATTGACGATAGGGAGAGAGTGACAGTTACCATCTTTTGTTACATCTCAAAATTATCATATACTCTCCTAGGGATTGGGAACTCTAACTATCGATCTAATTTGAAGTCATAGCATTCTAAGTAAAGATGAATAGTGGTTAGCAGCGGAATCAAGGACGCACGTTTTGTCCTATATGGAGCTCGTCAGATGGATGTACTCGCACCCCAGAGTTAGTGTTCACTCCGGGATTCACTTTAAACAACATCCTGTTATCCTCTTAGCTACTGAGCTCTGACAACCACTTGCTTGGGTGATATATACCTATTAAAATGTAAACAAATCTCTGTGAATAAATGATTCCTGTGGTTGTGAATTCACAACTCATGTTTAAACTAGTGAAATATACTCATCTTCAATGTTTTAATCTAAGTCATAAATAAAGAAAACAGTTTCCTTTTCAAGTTACAACAACAATACAACTATGTAATATAAGTAATCCAAACTAAATAGTAAAACTCACTTGGTATTGTTTGACTTGTATTTTCCTATTGAGGTTTAAGACTGCAATTGATCAGTCTGTTATGGGCATATGTACGTACTGTGCGTATGCCTCGATATTGTCTTAATTCACAAACAGTAAAACTTAGCAACTCAGCAATATTTGTGATATATTTTGTAAACTACTTATAAGTAGGATGATTGTACATAAACAAATATGTGTGTTTTTATCAGTTGAGGATGGTGGAGATTATTAAGTTTTTGATTGAGATCATGAACCGATTGATGTTAGATGATCATTGAAAACCTAGAAGCGAATGACGGTCGTTTCACTCTATTGTAGGACCCCTCAGCAGTGCACATCAATGATCACGCTCGTGGGATTCGAGTTCAGTTAAATCAAGTGTTTATTGTTAGAACGGAGATTAAAACACAGACAATTTAGTCAATTCTAACTTAAAGATAACTATCGTCATAGATTAACAATAATTGATCTTTTTGAATTCTTTGATTCAGTGATCTTAAAGTATTCTACATTGTTTCTCAATCAGAAACTCTGAACTAGATCCAATATAGAGTTATAGATGTGTATTATTAAGATGGTGAAATAGTTTCCAATTTTTTTGAACTGCTCAATTGTTCTTCAGTTTACTTTAATCTTTAATGAAATCTGTTGTCGAATAACTCTGTTAATGCACACTTGTTATGAATCAAATGATTCGAAAGAGCTATCTTTATTAATGGTTGGCTGTAATATGAAATGTATAGGTTCCGTTCAACCGTGTTATTCATGAACTGAGTCCTTATTGTAACTTGAACTCAATGATG